TACAATGTTTAAAATGAAAAAATATTCAGCAAATACCAGGAAAACATACATTGTTGTGCTCATATGACCCAGACTAGTTTAGTCAGATATTTGAAAAAAATTATATTTTGTGTATATTTTATTCAAATTGTGTGCTTTATCCACAGGACCTGTTTTGTCCCTATTCTCAAGATTCACTGACATCTATAATCACAATGCAGTGTTTGAGTTTATTTTGCATATTTACATACTTTGATGCTCTACTGTTACACAAAACACACTGATGTTTACAGACATTTATTAGAATTTGCTTGTTTTTGAATTCGAAGGTATACATCATTTTTAAATTAATTTTTAAATTAAAACGGGCTGAACTGTCAATTTGAAGATTGAGGCTTTGTGGGTTTTAATGGTTATATAAACAGCTTAAGAGGAGATAAAATATTCAATACCTGCTTAAAGTGTTATTTTCAAGATCCGCATTTAAACAAACGAGCCTCTTTGAAAGGCACTTTGAAGTTATTAAATATGGCAGCACCTGCTGGTGGAAGCAATCTGTTTAACCTCAGAGCGAATGGGCCTCATCAGGAGCTGCAGCGCCACCTCCAGGCTCATTTTCTCATGACTGCGTTCAGTGCGCAGAGTCCTCGAGAAAATATTCATTATATTCTTTCTCTGGTTCTCTGGTTTTTCAAACTACTTCTTCTCACTCTGTACTAAAGATAATTTCCACTGCAGGTCGGAATCGTGCTGGGCAGCAGCAGCAGCAGTCAGTCCAACAACATAAAACAAGATGTCTTAAAAAATAGGTTATATCATTCAAATAGCACACATCTTATCTCTACATTATCAGTAAATACCCTCATTTCTCACTTTATTACACACACACACACACACACACACACACACACACACAGATAAGTGTATTTGCTTCTATTGTCCCCGTCTCCTCACACCACACACCTGCTTTCAACATCAGGCTTTAGCCTGACAAAAATATATCCACAGTTTTATACTTGCGTTCAAATGCATAATTAAGCTGTTCAGAATAAAGCAGCCCACTAAGTTTGGTCTATAAATCTGCTCAGGTGGGTTACATTACCTGGTGTGATTTTGAAAAATCTTGATATTTTCCCTGCTGCATGAGAGGATTTAGTGTTGCTGCCTGCATCTTCAGGAAATGAACAGAAAACACAAGGTTTATGAGAACTTTATGATAATCTTATTACAATCGTAAACCAAGGAGGAAATGAAGCTGCAGGTTATTTTTAAAATAAAATATTATATTTATTATAATGACATGTAGCACCGGGAGTTAATAACATTTTTGTTTTGTTTATGCATTTCTGCCTTAGATAAAGTATCAATGCATCTTGTGTTACTTGGTGATGTAAAACTAAATTCATTGCCATATCAGTTCATATTTATGGGGTCGAAAAGAATTTAATTTAGTTAATGAACAAAGTTATTAAAGAATTAAATCGCAAGTCTGAAAGGACACAATTCAGTGTACTTATTAAAATTAAACATGTTTAATGAGACACATCAAGTCTTCAGAATCACAAACTCATGGATTCTTTGTTATCTTGAAGCAGAGGAGAAAATAAAACATATGCTTGATTATAGAAAGATCATAAACTACACAGCACGGGCGAGATTATTAATTAATTAATAAAACTATTAATCAAACAGCAGCAGCTGCTCCACCCAGCCGCCAGGGGGCGGCAGAGCGTCGCTGTCAGCTCGGTGGTGAAACTCGGAGCAGAAGCAGAGCAGCAGGCTGATGTTCAGTTGGTAAAAGCTCCGGTAGTTTGATACCAGCTTGCTGCGAGATTACAGCGACCTGGAATCCCACCGGAGTCCCGCCTTAGGCTGGAATATCCCGGAATATCCCGGTTTGTCCCGGAATATCCGGTTGATCCCGCTGGCTGCTGGAATGCCTCCGCAGCTCCTTCTCCTCTTCCTGGACTGACTTCCTTCCATCATGGCTGAGATGAGATGCAGAAAGTCTGCGGCTCTGGAGGGAGAAGCTGCAGAAGAGAGCAGGAGTGAGTTACAGAGGCTTCCAGAACCTCCTTCCGGCTTCCGGTTTCCTGTTCTGACTCTGTCACCTGAGCAGGTGTGGCCGCAGAGGAAGAGGAGGAGAGGAGGGAGTCCAGAGGGGATGAAGATGGTCAGGAGGAGAGAGTCCAGCCATCCACGCGGAAATCTGCTGCAGGTAAAGAAACTGCGGGTCCAAACTCCTGGTCCGGTCCGGTCCGGTCCAAACTCCTTCATGTTTACCTGACGTTGATCCAGAAATTATTTCAGGTTCTTCAGTTTTTTAATAAGAAGCTGAAATCCATCAGCGACACTGAGGAAAAACCACCAGAAGTCATTTCATCTTCAGTTACGTAACAAACTTTCAGGAGCTGAAGATTCACAACACAAGAAATTTATTTCTGAATTTACGTTTATGAATAAAAAAACTTGAGTAGAAATGAGTCCAATTATTAAGAAATACAATTTTCTTCTTATTTTAATAGTTGTGAAAACTAATGATGACATATTGTGAAATTAAGACAAAATGCTTATTAATATTATTGATTATTAAACATGTTTTTAGGCTGAGCCAATAAAAGGTGGACGAGTTAAAGTTGTTCCTCTCTTCATTTCAGCATGTAGTGATTAAATGTATCGAAACTTTTTTCCAAGAGCAGAGAGGCAGCAACAATGGCCTCCAGTTGTTTTACTGATGAACAGGAACTGTTTTAATACGACGTGGCGGCAACGACGTTTCTGAAATTTAGGTCCAGATTCATCATTCTGCAGCTTCATGACCGGTCCTGGTCCTGGACCCGGTCCTGGTCCTGGTACGGGTCCCGGTTCTGGTTCTGGTCCTGGACCCGGTCCTGGACCGGGTCCTGGTCCTGGTACGGGTCCCGGTTCTGGTTCTGGTCCTGGACCCGGTCCTGGTTCTGGTACGGGTCCCGGTCCTGGT